TCGTGTTTTGAAGGATTGTCGTGATGGTAAAGAACCGGAAAATAAAAAGAAATGCGGTCGCCCAACAAAATTGAGTGCCAGAACAACCAAAAAATGTTGTCAAGTGCTGAAAACAAATTTGGTCAATCAACACGCAAATTAGCACGAAAATGTCATGTTTCAAACATGACAATCCATCGGATTAAAAAAATACAACGTAATCTATCAGAAACGTCATCGTGCTCTAAAATATACACAGCAACAACTCGAAAAATACCAAAATGTTGCCGTGCACTTCGTCGCAAACCTTTTGCGAATGGAAAATGCATCATTTTGGAACTGAGCAAAAAATACAATTTGTACCGAAAAAGGACAATCCATCAAACGTGCCTCAGGCTAGTCCAATCGGGTGTACTCAAATTGAGCAGCAATTGGTTGATCGAATCAAGCAAAATTTAAAAGAAATCGACAAAGATACCGTCCAAACCCTGATTCAACAATTTCGCTACACACTGCGAAAAATCGAAGATAATGGTCAATTGAGTGTACAGTAAATGCATTTTTCAACAGTTTATAAATAGAATAAAATACCCTGAAGAAGATTTTAAAATTAAATTGTTTGATTTCAGATGGCATGCTTTTGATTTTTTTTCCCAGGACTTATGTTACATATGTTAATTTCAGGAAAACTGTAAAATTGTTTACCGAACGTTCAGCTGTTGAGATTTCGGTAAAATTTCACAGAAATCTGTAAAATAATCTTAGTGTGCATGGTGACCAGCAAATCCCAATTTGTAATTTCCCGGGGTTTTCCCCTAATTTTGGTGATTTTCCCGGTTGTTTTTAGATCGAAGAATTCATCCTAAGATTCGTTTCGAAAAAACTTACTGAAACTTCCTTACATACTCCTTGCATTCTATTTAGAATTAGTCTGAATATTTCTTATAATTATCATGCAATTCTCCTCAGAATTGTCATACAATTCTGCTCATAATTATCTTGGAGCTCTCCAATAAATTCTTCTGAAAATTCGTTTGTAATTCTCCTCAGAATACCCTTGCAATTCTTCTCGAGATACTCTTGGAATTAAACTCGGAATTCTCATTAAACTCATCTCAGAATTCCTTTGGAATTATTCCCTCAAAATTCGATTCCCTTGGTATTTATCGTGAGATCATTGAAACTCTCTTTAGAGTTCACTTGATATTATCCTAAATTTTCTAAGAATTTCCTTGGAATTGTCATCACAATTCTTCTAAGAACTTATTTTGAATATTCATTTGAAATGGACCTGGAATCCGCTTCCCTCCCCTTGGTTAGTTTTTGCACCTTGCTGTTGGTGGGCGGGCTTAATTTCATGCTTTATAGTGGAGTGTTGGAGACGGTAGGTTTGGGGCCGGCGTTGCTGGCTCATGCCGCGATAGAATGGCGTCATGGGCAGGCAATGGGGATTACTAAGCTTCCCCTCTCTGATGAACCACTACATGAGAAAACCAAAGATCTAGTCCAGCAGTGATAGTATCACACTTGTTACTCCTTTGATTGAGAGCCGCGTTGTAGTACGCTTACGTATAGACACTGACGTTGGGTGCGATATTTGCGGGTTAGATAGATTTATTTGGGTTTGCAAGGGAATTATACTATTGAAATATTTCAGAAAGTGCCCATCGGTGCTCCTTCTATTTGCGTGACAAGCTTTCATTGTTGTTTTCATTGAAGTATTACTCAGGGAACAATGCTAAACACCATTTTTGTACATGGTATTGCAGGCTTGCCAAAAGCTCCATCAAGAGTCATCAATAAGCTGAGCTCCAGCATATTTTGATGATGAAATATTTTGCTCTCACGGAGCTATACTTGATGCTCAAGCTGGGCTCTTGCCAACCCGCATCTTTGTGAGGGATGCGGAGCTCGTTCTCGGGTGTACATCGACTCTGCCTGCCGAGCAGAAATTTTAACTTCGTGATGCGCTCGCGCAAAGCAGTAAACTTGGAGCTTCGTGATGTATTCGTAGAGAGCATGGCTCTTGATGGCTTCTCCCAGAGCGCATGAATGAGTGATTTTGTATTGTATTCGAGAAAGAAGTGCACAACCAAGAAATGAAAAAAAAAACATTATGGAACGTATGCATACATTCCGTCACGCAAAAGTGGGAAATGGATTCATAGGGTAACTGTCTATATTCTATTCTATATATTCGTGTTGATAATAAATGTATGTATTGGTTTTTGTTTGGTTTGACAGCTATGCGAACAAAATAAACATATTTTGAAATTATTTTAGTATTTGAGTGCAGGGTCAAGCAAAATAAAACGGATTGCAAAGAAATGAAAATAAAAAAGATCTTCGGGCAGGGCATCTAAATCCCTGCTTATTTTCGGCGAGGGGCTGTCAACTTGAGCATTTTCGATTCATCTACCCGACTTGAAAATGTGTATTTTACATTTTTTCGTATTTATGTATGCGGGGACCCGTCGGGGTGAAGTTGATACAGTGGGGTTCCGCCGGTTGTGTCATTTTCGGGCCGTTTTCTGTTAAGTTGAGCATAGCTGGGGCAACTTTTTCCGAATGCGTTTCTGCGACATCTTGCAACCAACTGAAGGTTATGATTCATAACTTATGAATAAATCGATGCAGACTCCACCTGATTTAAACAACGCTAGACCAACAATTGAAATAGGCGGAACAACAAAATGTAAACAATGGCTTTAAACATAAATTCTTCGAAAATCAAAGCACATCCAAACAATCTAACGCCATCATCTGATAGAGTAAACTTCCTTTATCAAATGGAAATTTTAGTTTACGTGGTAGTGTTTTGATTCTCAAGAAGTTTGTGTTTAAAGCCATTTCTTACGTTTGGTTGTTCTACCTATTTCAATTGTTGGTCCAGAAAGATTTCCGAGCTACCGTGTGTGCAGCGAGGGTAGCGAATTGAATGAATGAACATGTTAAAAGGCAACAGGAGAATACGAAGACAGCACCAAGGGATAATCCATAAACGGAGTAATTAGTGCTTTTACTAGTTTTTCCCTCGTGCATTCTAGGTCAGAAATATAATTTCGTTTATGCACTCATAAAGCACTTAGCGGAAAAAATGATCAAAGATTTTTGTGACTGAGTTTGAGTAATCCAAAAAGTGGTCCGCGAGTTAAAAAAAACATCAATCTCTCAAAACGTTACGTTCTCTGGGAATGATCCCATAGTATTAGTATAGTATTGTTGTGTATCATAATATTGAATGGAAAAACCGTGCATAAATCAAAGGCCGTGCGTGCTCTCTCCGAATGCATAACGAAGCTCTATATTTACAGTTTCACCGAGTTCATCCCGAAGTTCAAAATGTTGTTTGGTGAGCAGAGCCGATGTAAATCACGCCTCACTCAAGAACGAACCCCGCATCACTCATCGTGATGCGTGTTTGTGGAAGTCCAGCTTGAGCATCAATCTGAGCTCGAGCTCTTTTGCGCTCTTTAGATTTGACACCTTGGCTCTTTATATGTGAGGGATGAACTAGCTCACGATGAATGAGCATCTCTACGGCATAATCTGAGTTCGAGGAGTTTAGGCAAGCCTGGTATTGTAACTAATCTTATATATGCTTCATTTTGGTTTGGGATAAGTGTTTGAACTATGGCTCGGGATTTCCACTGTGGCGTGCTTCTATTGTGACATACCCATACGTATTTTTGTGGTGCGACATAGTGGAAGCGTGTGAGCATAGTTGGAGCATATACCCTATATAATTTAAAAATCAGCTAGGAATCTAACTTCAAAATGAAGCATTTTAGTCATATGAAGGTGTTACCTGGGTCGAACTAAGATATAATAAATAGGTATAGGCTTAAATCAAAAGTACTTGAAACACGTTTAATTTTAGATTACAAGCACAAGTACAGGTACTTAATAAAGCATGGACTATGATTGATTAGGTGAATTAGAGCTTTTAATAATTTATCAAATTAGACTAATGAGATATCATAATCATCAAATGAACTTAAATCTGAAACTTCAGAAAGTCTAATGACATTAAGTAGATTTAGAAAAGAGTTAGGACGCGGGGGGGTCCGCCAAGGGAGGCAACTAGCCTTTTCATATATTGTCTGTTTATTTTGATGGTTGCTGTAAAATATCAATTTGGTATATATGTGAAAGGATGAATCAGTGGGAGATGGATTTTCGATTTCGTTACATTTTGCATCACAAATCTAGTACTATGTGTCATTTCCTCAAAACACCCCAATAACCGACCTCTTCAATCCCTTCCTTTTCCCATGGCGTTCAAGTGGTCCGCATAGACTATTAAGATTACCCTTCCCTTATCCTCGGCTTTGGATTGACTTGCGCTCCCATTGCCCCACCAAACGCTGCAAAATGAAAAAAATGAGTACTTCAGGATGATTAAGTAATATTCTAAAGCTCTTCAACTGTCCAACAATTCAATTCACGTCACTCGGATATTCAACCATGACACCAGGATGATCAGACATTTTTTTAAAGCATCAGGTCCATGAAATCCTTAAGATATTTTCCAAGACATCCTCAAGACGATCGTGCTGACGTCAGCACGTATTTGGCGGAACAGGGGAATCCTTACCGTCGTCATTGAACAGCACTTTGCGCTATGGGATGCCGTCTACGCGCGTTGTGTGATTTTTGCACACATTAAGGAAAGCTGTTTCCGCTGCATCCTTCGCTCTGATGAGCATTTGAATGCCAGTGTTGTATGGGCAAATGCAAGATGGCACTTTTGCTGATATCTAATTTGTTAGCTGAGTATCGACAATTGTTTTTACTGAATCTCAGCACAATAAATTGTAGAACTACTCGGCTGTTGGAATCTCGGCAAAAACAAAATTTAGTGTGTAAACAATCCGTCGCATATTCTAAAGTAGCTGAGGCCAAGGCGAACCAGCCAATGGCTGAAAGCCTTGTAAATAAAGGAAAAAAAAATAAAAAATAAAGTAGCTGACGACAAAACTAATAATCATCACCTTCCCGCATTCCCCGTTCACTTCCAGATGAAATCGTCGCCCAGTTCAAGAATACCGTGCTGATCCTGCCCAACGGACTGACAGTCGTGACCGGTTGCCCATTCGATGTGACCTGCTACGAGAGCGAACACAGCGTCCAGGACGAGGACTTGAAGAAACTGCTCGAATCGGACCTGGTGCTGGCGGACGCCAAGAAGTCGGCTGTGGCCAAGGCAGCCGCTGCCGCTGCGAACGCCACCACCACCACCACCGCTACCACCACCACCAAGGCTACTAGTGATGCTGCCGCTGCTCCTGCTGCTTCTGCCGATGGATCTGCCCCGGCGGCACCCAAGGACAAGAAGAAAAAGAAGAAGAAGAAGGCCTCCGCCGCTGGTGAGGCCGGCAGTGAGGTGGTAGCGGAAGCCGGTAAGGAAAATGCCGCCAAGGCATAATAGAGGTTGTACTGTTAGAGGTCCGTTATTTCCGCGGCCACGTTCAGGAAAGGTTCTGTGTCCTTTTTTTTATTTGTTTTCAACATATGCATACACGCGTTTCGTTTTTTTTTTCTCGTGTCGATTTTTTCGCGTCTCCCCACTTGCGCTCGATCGGAACTTGGTAGAGCTGGCACACTTTAATTGGAAGTGTGTTGTAGACCTGATCGGTTTCTTCCGTTCTGTCATCGGCCGGTGCTTGCAGTTCGCTTTAGAATGTAAGATTATACAACCAACCCTTAAGAAATGGTAGAATTTTTGAAGTGCTAGCAATAACCGAGCGTTAGTGAATTTTCATTTTGGATCAGACTGTATAACTACAAGCGCCTGACCTGCGGGCAGTTCCGGTGGAAAGCGATCAGGAGCATGTTTTTGTGACCTAATTATAACCCTCCCGCCCGTCTGTTTACATAACATTTTACCCGAAGCCTAGCAATAGTTGATTCGTGACAAGTTGAAATTATGAGCATACTACTCATAGCCACCACGTTGGGTACTTTTGAAAAAGTACATAGAGAGCAAAGCAAAAAATTTCCTCTGACATCAGTGATCCACAAAGAGTGTGGCGAAATTTGATTAAAGGTATTACACGAAAACCATATGCCAAGTACCTTCGACAGCTAAGTAAAATCTATCTTTACAACAGATCACATGGACAGAGAGTAATCGTATTCATTCACCTTGTATAAAATATGCAACCACAAATTATTGAGTCGTTTAAAATTGTAATTCCGTTTTTTTCGTAACAAAATTGTGAAAAAGAAAGAAAACCAATTAAATTTTACAATGTAGAGATACATATTAGGTAACATGGAATTGTACCAATGCTATGTTCCGAAATGCCCTTTGTCTGGAATGCTCTCGTCTGTTGCTCAAGAGGTGGAACTGCCCATAAACGCACAACAGTTCCATGTGGAAAAAGCCGAAGTCAAGAAAAACGCAGTTTTTGTCATGTCCCTTTATTCTGCGAGTCACGTGACTCTCTGTCATCGGTGAGGTGACAATTGTTACCTCATGTGAGGTGACTGTCCATGCAAATAAAATGGAGAGTTACGTGACTCACAGAATAGGGGGGATGGTATCTTATGTCTTGGACAACCAAGTTTTGTTATTTTTACGATATTTTCAAAACAGAACAGTTCACTTGATGTGAACATATTAAAATTAAGGTAGCTGACAATCGATTCCAGAAGATAACTCATTTTTACCAAAAAATCACATGGGACTGTTATGCATTTATAGGCAGTGAACTAGCCCAAGGCTGAAAACCTTTTGAATAAAGAAAACTAAACTAAATTGTATTTTTGTATTAGAGACACCTTTACATCTAATGACGCATTCATGTCTTGAAATAAATAATTACAATTTATTGTACAAATTGGTATGGAAGCCTAGTTTTTTCTCCTCGTACGAACCCATCGCAGGAAAAAAAGGCAGTTACGAGGAACGCGTTATTGCTGAGGCGCGTTTTACGCAACTGTCAATGGCGTGAGGAGTAAGACAGCGCCGTCTCCCGCCATGTGCTATGACCGTGAAGGTAATCTGCTGACAGATAAAACGATGGTGGCTGCCAGGTGGAAGGAGTACTTCGAGACGTTGCTGAACGGAGAGAACGAGAGAGCATCCACAAACAGAACACACATCGACGACGATGGTCAAGCTGTGGAACTACCAACGCTAGAAGAGGTGAAAAAGGCGATACGAGAGCTGAAAAACAGTAAGGCTGCGGGGAAGGACGAGCTCCCGGCCGAACTTCTCAAACACGGAAGTGAGCAGCTGCACCAGATGATCCACCGTATACTGCTCAAGATATGGGAGGAGGAAGAATTGCCCGCTAGTTGGTTGGATGGTCTCGTTTGTCCCCTCTACAAAAAGGGACACATACTGGAGTGCGCCAATTACAGAGAAATCACGCTTCTGAATTCGGCGTACAAAATATTATCACGTGTTCTGTTCAACAGATTGAGACCGCTTGAGGAATCCTTCGTCGGCGAATACCAGGCTGGTTTTCGTGAGGGTCGATCAATGACGGATCAAATGTTTACCCTGCGTCAAACCCTTGACAAGTTCCGGGAATACAACTTGCAGACTCATCATCTGTTCATAGATTTGCTATTCAACATCGCCCTCGAAGGAGCGATTAGGAGAGCTGGCGTGCAGAGGAACGGTACCATCATCACAAAGTCGCACATACTCCTTGGTTTTGCGGACGACATCGACATCATCGGAATCGACCGTAGAGCAGTGGAAGAGGCGTTCGCGCCTTTCAAGAGAGAGACAGCGAGGATTGGTCTCACGATAAATTCTACCAAAACGAAGTACATGGTCGCCGGCAGAAAGCGTGGGAGCAATAGTGCTGTTGGTAGTGAAGTGGTGCTAGATGGCGAAAAATTTGTAGTTGTGGACGAATTTGTTTATCTTGGTACTTTAGTGACGTGCGATAATGATGCTACTGGCGAGGTGAAAAGGCGTATTGCAGCCGCGAACAGGGCTTTCTACGGGTTGCGTAGCCAGCTGAAGTCCCGCAGCTTGCGTACGAAAACGAAATACGCGCTGTACAAGACGTTGATTCTGCCGGTAGCCCTTTATGGCCACGAATCGTGGGCATTGAAAGAGGCCGATCGGAGAGCTTTCGGTGTCTTCGAGCGTAAAGTGCTGCGAACAATACTCGGCGGTAAACTGGAAAATGGCATCTGGCGGCGTCGCATAAATCACGAGTTGTACCAAGTATATAACGGCATGGATATTGTGAAGCTTACAAAACACGGCAGGCTACAGTGGGCTGGGCATGTGGCACGAATGCCGGAAGAGCGAAGTCAAGCGAAGTCAATATTCAGCAAGGAAACCCGGAAGAGGACGTCGGCTTCGGGGTAGGCCACGCACGCGTTGGCTTTGTGCAGTTGAGGAGGACATTAGGTCCTTGAACGTCCAAGGCGACTGGAAGCGATTGGCTCAGGACCGAGACCAATGGAGACGGTTACTTCGTTCGGCGCAGATTTGAATTCAACGAGTCGTCGCCCATCAGGTACTCAGGTAGGTACGAAGTATTCAGTGTCAACATATCAAAGGGGCGTAATTGCTTTTGTTAAGTATGGTTTTAGCCGTTCATTTCTCGCAAATAAAAGCACACCCTCCAAATTAGCAATGCTAGCTGGTAGAGGAAACATTGGTGTCCTTAATTTTTATGTGTGAGCTTTTATTCGCGAGAAATCGACGGCTAAAGCCATTGTTTAAAATGTCGACACTGTACTGTTTGCAGACAAGAAGGGTCAATGTTGTATTTTGCACGAGCATCATGATATTTCCTGCAGTCCAGCAAAATATGTCTAACGATGGTGACGATGCCGCAGCATTCACACACTGTTTTGACCAGGAAACTAAATAGTCCAACCCCAAAAACTTAGCCCGGATTTTTTGTCTAAGTTCTTAAGTTGTAATCAATTATAATTAGCCACTTCTTTCGATCGGTTAAAAATGACGTTTACTACCACTCGAACATTGAAATGAATCTATATTTTGAGATTTTTCCACGAGAAGAAGTAGCCAAAGTTTGTGCGTTTCATAAAAAAATAGTATTTTGTTGGTCCAGTTTTTTGTTATCGCTGGCAGAAAGTCACACCAAAACTGCTTGACAAAGTGATCCATTGCACGAGTATTTTTGTTTTGCACAGGCCACTTCATTGAAAAATCTACTTATTTGAATGCAGCAGCAGCAGCATAACAAACATTGGAAAGTTATACCTCTTAATCTCTAGACAACTTTATGGAAGTTAAAAATATTATTGACTAGGTACTTAATTTTAGACCAGGAGTCTAATGAGGTGCGAAATCTGCAATATTTCTGTTTAAAAATATACTGTGCCTTCGGAATTAACCTATTAAAAAAAAGCTTCTACTGAACTTCAAAACATAACAAAAATGTATTCAAAATAAATAACGAGTCCACAGCGTTAATACATTTTATTTTGTTCCAAACTGATACCCATAATAGCACTGGCAAGTCAACAAACGAAAACCACCAACTGTTCAAATTCACTTCTTCGTAGCGGGAGATGCCGCGGGTGCTGCCACCGAGGCGATTGCTCCTTCCGGTGCAGGATCCATTGCCTTTTTGATTGCATCGGTACCCTTCTTGGTCCACTGACCAAGGTAACACGGCAGCCGGTGAATAAAGTGGACCGTACCCTTGACACCTTCGTTCCAATAGTGCTTGGTCAGAAAGCACACTTCACCGGAAGTCGGAAGAGCAGGGACCTAGAACAGAAACGGCAGTCGAAAAATCACTCACCTCGTCATTTACAAAAACACTGCTGCACAGGCGCTAAAAATAGACCTCACCTGAACGGGAATCTGCTGCTTTACCGACGCCAGCTGTGGTTGCAGGGCTTTCGAGTAGCGTTCGTACACTTGGTCGGTGTTTGCGTTCCAGATTCCTTCCTCCCGGGAGTAGTACACGGCCCCACCGGCCAGGCCGGTTTTGACGGCAAGCCTGAAGAACGGAATGCACTCGGAATTACTCGAATTCGTAAAGATTTTCAACGGCAAATCACTTACCTCAGCATGATTGATTCTTGTGTGAAATGCTGGCGCAGTCCTGTGAGACGGTGACAAAACTTTTGTTGTTCTCTTTTACGTAATTTTCGCCAAAAAAGAAAATTTTGACAGTTGTCAACACCCGGACGGGCGAGCGAGCCGGCAGGGATGCTTCACAGGTGGTTTATACACGGTAAGAAAATACTTCATAACGGCCAGTTTACTTTTACCTTCTTTTGACTTTTTCCTTTTCTCCTTCAAAATGTTGTCAAAAACGGAGGAGCAAAACCACCCAGCAGCTTGTTTCCAATCCTACATTGCAATCAAACTGAATTGGGGATCTTCCTGCAGATCGTTTTTTTTTTCATCTCTTGGCAATGCATTTTTCTGCTCTATCCAGCTACATCCTATACATTCAAATTTTAATATAATTTAAAATTAAGTATGTTCCCGCATAAACAATAACCATAAGATGCGCCTAACCACCAATTCGGGATATCATCCCAATTTTATGTGGTATGGTCGCACCATCTAAGATATCGTCAGTATATGGTACACGTTTATTAGGGTTTCTTTCAAACATAAGAAGCATGTTTATATATATAATATATAACATATTTATTTTTGCTCGAATAGTTGCCAAACCAAACAAAAATACCCACGTTTATTTTGAACACGAATATTTTTAAAATAAACGCCACATTATTTTTATTTTAAACATTAATATTACATGACTTCAAACATGAAATACGTTTGAAATAAACCTTGTTTATTTTTGTGGCCAGAACAAACTGATTGATTGATTGATTTCTTTATTATAGAGATTTTCAGCCGTTGGCTGGTTCGTCTCTGAAAAGATAGTGTGGGGTCCAGAAGGGACCTCATCTAGTTCTCGATCTAGTTAAATACTAAGGCTGTCAATGTGCTGTCTTTCTTCGGAGTTTTGGTTGTTAAGTTGCTGAGGATCTTGCTTTGGTTTGAGATGTTGGGTGATAAGAGAAAGTCCATTTGTATTGCGGTGGTTGGGATTTTGGCAGGTTTCATATTTGGTCGAAGAGGCCGGCCTCGCGGAGGAAGCCCCTTAATGCTGTGATTCTAGTCGGGTCGTTACTCAGTGCGTCCTTAATGCTGCCCGATATGCCGTACAGCACTCGTGAGCCTTCGTATTCAGTACAGTGGCAGATTATGTGTTCCACTGAACAGTTGGTGTGGCAGAGCTCACAAAATTTCCGGAACGGGCCGCTCCCAGAAAAGTTATGCGAGACTCTGGTATGGCCTGTTCTGAGTCTTGCCAGGACAACCTGAGTTCGGTGGTCAGGGGGGTCTTGCCATCTTCGTGTGTCAGCCTTCACTTTTCTAAGGAAAATGCTAGTTGATTGGGACCGGAAATTTCAGGGTTACATCTTCCTTATTGGGAGCTGAGGAGACATAGAGCTGCATCATATTGTATGTAAAATAATTATTATTTTCATTGCGGAATACCAGTTTTTTTTTATCCATATAAATGTATTTTCATTATTACATATTTTAATGTTCTGATATATTTCATTTCTCCATTACATATGTTTACTATATATATATAAATAAATACTGGGTTGGGAGGGAGCATCAGGGTATCGTTTGACCTGGAACTGGATGATTGGAGTGGTATGACAACCGGAGTCTAGGAGGGAATAAACACTATCATTTTCTTTATCCTACCGATTCGATTGTGATGGTGTGAATTCTACTCCAACAGTTTCATGGAGATTGACGCGCCCTTCTTAACAAACCATCCTGTAGGAAGCTTGATAAGTATTGCGAATTGCGTTATTCGATTTGTTGGATCGTATCGTTGGAAGGAGATTCTTAAATTCCCTTGGATTTCGCGTAAGTGCCTCTGCTTACGGGTCCACCCCACCGTTTTTGGCCCTTCATACAGCGATATTGTGAATTCAGATCGGTAGCTTTAATTGATCTTGCTATTAAGTGGAGCTGCATACAAGACAAGATCTTCGAAGGGATGGTGGCTACCTTACATACATACATACATACATACAAAATGCTAGTTGATTGGGACCATGTATTTGACCATAAATCCCAGATTTTGTTGGCAACCCATTTTTTCAGGTCCCCTGATGGAACCTCCTTGGTGAACAGTTGGGCTTGTCTTCCAGAAGCCGCTAGATGATCCGCCTCCGTTTTACCACGAATGCCGCAGTGGCCCGGAATCCATACAAATGTAGTGTTTCTGGGGGCATATCGCTGAATGGCTTGGACCCATGAGTGCTTAATAGAGTCTGAGTTGAGGGCTAAAACTACACTTGCGGAGTCCGTAAATACGGCAATCGGCTTGTTTGAGGGAGTGGTAGCAGCAATAAAAGCAGAGACCGCTTCTGCCGAGAATATAGTGTACTGGTCTGGAAGTCGATGAAGTACGGACATTTGGGGGCCCGCGATGCCGATGCCAACCCCTTCACGGGAAACCGATCCATCGGAGGAACGGATAGTGTGGTTGCAGTATCTGGTTCTCTGGAGTTCCGCGACGGATCTCACTAGTGCCGTGAGCACACCAATGTATGCTAGACACCGGGGGGAGCTCCAGATTGGCGGTGGCTGAAAGGAGTTGTTTGGCCTCGGTAAGGGGGAAAACTCCTTCATCTGAGCCAGCTGTCTTCTCCTCGAAGCTAATTGATCGGTTACAGATGGTCTGAGTAACTAGAAGGTTGAATGGTAGTACTCCACTTTCCGCGCAAGCTGCAATTGCAGGCGTGGATGGTAGTAGGCCGGACGAGATACGGATAGCTTAGTGGTATGTAGAGGCTAGTTTCGTAATAAGTTGTTCGCGAGCGAGACAGGTAACTTCGATTCCATAAAGGAGACGTGATTCTAAAATTGTTCTAGCAACTCGAAGACTGTCTGTGTGTCGACCTGCGATGGATCGTAGCAGATTAAGACGTGTCTTGCAGGCGTTCTTGACTTCGTCGAAGTGGGCAGAAAAGGTCAAATATCGGTCAATTCGAACTCCGAGGATACGGGCTGACCTCCTGATGGGAATAGCTGTACCATTGATACAGATGGGAGTGTTAAGGACGGCATGATGGTGAGAGCAGATGTGCACTAGTGTGCATTTTTCGGCTGAGAGTTGGAAGCCAGTCAGTGATGTCCACAGGGAGACTGCCCTTGTGGCTGCGCCCATCTTTCTACGTAGTGCCTTTATGGTTTTGTGAGTGATTAGGAGGATAATGTCGTCAGCGTACACAAAGATGTAAATTTCCTTAGGAAGGTTAACGAAAACTCCATTCATACAAATTAAGAAAAGGGTGACCGCGATAACCGAACCCTGTGGTACGCCAGTCTCCTCACGGAATGTTGCGGAACGGTGGTTTCCCAGAAGTACCTGAAAGGTGCGGTTTGCCAATAAATTCTTCACGAAATGCATCAGGTGCCCGCCAAGGCCCCAATCAGCCATTTGTCGGATGACAAGCTTTTGCTATGTCTAAAGCTGCCAGTTCGACGTGGTGTTCAAGGGCTTGGGCAAGTGTAGCGAAGTACGTGTTTGTGCCGTGTCCTGGACGAAAGGCGTGTTGACGGTGGTCAAGTAGGTCCCTGGATTCTAGAAAGTTCATCAGTCAACTATTTACCATCCTTTCCACGATTTTGGAGGCACAGCATGTGAGGGAGATCGGCCTGAAATCACTAGCTTGTCTGCCTGGCTTTCCTTGCTTGAGGATCGGGACCACGAGACTATGCTTCCAATCCTGAGGCAGGGAGTTGTGCAGCCACTCCTGGTTGATTAGATCTAGAAGCTTGCGTCTTCCTTCTGGTGGTAGAGTCCGGAGCAAAGGATAGCCCACCTCGTCAGGGCCCGCAGAATTGCCTTTAGCCTTTGATAAGGCTAGAGCGAGCTCGTTCATCTGGAAGGGGTCGTTTATTTCCGGCACAATTGTTTCCTCTGGAATTAGCATGCTGGCTATGGGGGGTGTCGAAGCAACTTTTTTCCTACGGAAGCGTTCTTCGTAGCCTTCTATGGCTGATAGAGAGGCAAAGTATTCTCCAAGCACATCGGCAATAGTATCTGAATCGCGGGTAATTCCTCCTTCACATTTAAGTGTGATTCCCCGGTTTTTTCTCTTCCCACTTAAAGCATTAACCTTTCCCCACAGATCAGCTGCCGATTGGTTTGGGCTGATTTCGTTGAGAAAGTTCTCCCAACTTTGGGCTTTCGCTTCGCGTATAGTTTGCCGACATTCGTTCCTTTTTGCACGGTAGTGAGCCAAAGCAACCTCCTTGTCGGGGTGGTTTTTATTTAATCGCTTGGCGGCACGAAGAGCCTTTCTCCTGGCTTTCACAGCGATTTTTGTGTTTGTCCCCCACCACGGAAGGGCTTTTCGTCCTGGGATGGTACTTGATCGAGGAATAGTGTCTGTTGCCGCTTGAAAAATCTAACCGATGTAGTCCGAGAGGTTGGTCGGTTCGGATTCTCTGCAGGTACCGGTGATTGCCTCTTGATAACTTGTCCAATCTGCTTGATTGTACATCCAGCGTGGTCTACGAGAGGCTTCGGACCAGGATCTTAACATCCACAGCCCACCTTTAATCAAACCCGTAAAAGAACAGAAGTTTAGATGCCCCCCATAAAAGAGAGCTTTACGACGTGTTCGGGGTATCATCCAAACCATTTGTGGGATAGTTTACCCATCCGGGATACAGTTCGTTTATGGTATTTGTTTATTAGGGCTGTCTGCAGATTGTTTTTTTTCATCTCTTTGCAATCCATTTGTTTTGCTTTATCCTACAAACATTCAAATGCTAATATAATTTAAAATTAAGTATGTTTCTTTCAAACATAAGAAGCGTGTTTAAAATAAACATATTTATTTCTGTTCGCATAGCTGTCAAACCAAACAAAAATATTCACGTTTATTTTCAACACGAATATTTTTAAAATAAACGCCACATTATTTTTATTTTAAACATTAATATTACATGACTTCAAACGTTTGAACGTTACGTTTGAAATAAACCTTGTTTATTTTTGTGGCCATAACCGACTGAGTTTACGTTTAAATTTACCTCAAATATTTTTGTTTCAAAGATAAATTTTTCTGCGTATAACCACAAACGAAGTGACAGACGGAGCGGCTCGAAAACTTTGGTGACTAACCTGCTATTTAAATTTTTCAGTGTATTACATGGCAACACCACTACTACTGGATTGTACCACATGGCAACACTACTACTGGATTGTACTAGCATTTTCACCAAATGTGTCAGAATGTTTTGGTTCTATCTCTTTCACTCTACTCAAAATTGAAATGCATAAAAAAATGACAAAATGATACACTCTTTGCACACTGTCAAAGAATCATTGTACACAAAATACACTTTGTTCAAATCAAAACAAAAAAACTAACCCATCTGGTGGATGATGGCATAAGCTTCCAAGAAAATTCTATTACAGTGAACCACATTATTTTAATGGATTTCTTCGCCAGTAAGTCGTCTGTCACTTCGTTTGTGGTATAACTATGTGTCCGACACATATATATCTGAGTACTGTGGAGTAAATCAATTTCATTCTGCAAGCCAATGGTGCTTGAAAATTGGTTCAAGTATAAAATTGTTTTGTTCTTTCTGAGTTGATTCCCGCCAAAAGCTCTGAGCCAGGAGTGCTCGAGCACCCATGACTTTATCAAAGTTTGTTTACAAACATGTTTCGCCAAAGCATGTTTTACTGCAATTGAAAACTCAGCTGAGTCATAAAAACTATGCTGGTTTTTATACTTTCATCATTGAGCCTGTTGGTTTTTGTCTTTGAGCTTACAATTAAGAATGTGTTATGAAAAAGTATGAATCATTTTTATGAGATTGCAATGCTTGACGAGAGGTAAGAACAGTACCTGAGTTTGTTGCTTCTGAATGTTTGGCTCCCGTTTGACAGTTCTGACTGGCTCCCAAGTGACAAGTACATTGAGTGAGTCCGCAGTACCCAGGTTTGCACCGGTTGATTAAGGCTCTGAACCATTTGATGGATTATTTTAACTATTGGTTAAAATTTGACAGATGGAAAGTTATCGATGAACCCTGCTATCCGAGCATGGTTATTTCTGACAGACAAGAAGTTAAATTTTTGACAACGGTGGGTCGAAAACCGGTCGATCGACAACACGGGGATTTTCGAACATAGAAAATAACTTTCGATATGTCACTTTTAACCACGAGTTAAATTTAACTCGGCAAATGGTTCACAGCCTAAACTGAGTATTAAGTCAAAGCAAAATGAGAAAGTTTAATTTATCAGTGTATCAGCCAATGCATCCCTGCATATACAGCTGTCAAAGTACCGCTGACAGCTCATCTGACGGCACGAATCACGTATCAAAAGAGAACGAATAAAATCCGAAAGCGAAAACTTCATCGGGGTGACAAATAATTTCTCGGATCGGAGTTCTCGTTAGGTGTGGTTGCAAAAATTGTCAATTTTTGGCAAGAAATAGCTCAACATTCGCCGTGAAAACTAATTTCCAACGTAGTTCCGTGTTCTCGTCTAGTGGTAGTGCAGTGTTTTACGAGTTTTCGGCAGACATAGGTGAAAATGACGGGAAGATTGCCAGCTTGCGTGATCGACGTCGGAACGGGGTAGGTAGAGGCAACCATAATCGGCTCCCGTCCGGGGAGGGTCGGGCACTTCTTCTACAGTGGATATTTTTTTTATCTCGGTAATTTTCTTATCAACATTACCTCGCCTCGTCGCGCCCGTTTGTCTTGTTTTAGCTACACGAAGCTCGGCTTCGCAGCGAATAAGGAGCCCCAATTTATCATTCCGTCGGCGATTGCCATCAAAGAAACGGCTAAGGTCGGTGACCAGAGTGCCCGCCGCGTTACGAAGGGAGTCGAGGATTTGGACTTTTTCATCGGCGATGAAGCATTCGATGCCACCGGGTACTCGGTTAAGGTAAGGTCCGGTTTCCATTTGCGGGTGATGAGTCACTTACATGGGATGTACGACTTATCGTCGCACTGCCACTGTTTATTGAGGGAGGTTTAGAGTTCGGCGCCGATCGATTGAAATTTTGTGTGTGTATGTTTGCTTTTAGTATCCCGTTCGTCATGGACTGGTCGAGGATTGGGACTTGATGGAACGCTTCTTGGAACAGTGCATCTTCAAGTATCTACGAGCCGAACCGGAAGATCATCACTTTCTGCTGACGGAGCCACCGTTGAATACTCCGGAGAATCGGGAGTATACGGCAGAGATTATGTTCGAGACGTTCAATGTGCCGGGGTTGTACATTGCTGTGCAAGCGGTGCTTGCCCTTGCGGCTAGCTGGGCGTCCCGTCCCGTGGAGGAACGGACGCTGACGGGAATCGTTGTTGACAGTGGTGATGGCGTGACGCACGTTATTCCGGTGGCCGAAGGCTACGTCATCGGATCATGCATCAAGCACATTCCGATCGCCGGACGGAACATTACTTCGTTTATCCAGAGTTTGCTTCGGGAGCGTGAGGTGGGAATCCCTCCGGAGCAGAGCTTGGAGACGGCCAAGGCAATTAAGGAACGATTCAGCTACATTTGTCCGGACATTGCGAAGGAGTTTGCCAAGTACGATTCAGAACCAGCCAAGTGGATGCGTCACTACGAGGGAATCAATGCAATTACCAAGCAACCGTTCGGGGTGGATATCGGCTATGAGCGGTTCCTTGGGCCGGAGATTTTCTTCCACCCGGAGTTTTCTAACCCAGACTTCACAACGCCTCTGTCGGAGATTGTCGATACGGTGATCCAGAACTGTCCGATCGATGTGAGACGGCCGTTGTATAACAATATCGTGCTGAGCGGTGGATCAACCATGTTCAGGGATTTCGGTAAGACCAAAAAATTCTACATTTGTGAGCTATAATTCTAAGGTTCCAAATTCAGGTCGTCGACTGCAGCGAGACATCAAGCGCAGCGTAGATGCCCGTTTGAGAATTAGCGAAAACCTGAGCGAAGGAAGGATCAAGGTAAAACTGTCCCCCTACTTATTCATGCACATGTGTTAATTACGGTCACATTTCGATTACAGCCTAAACCGATCGACGTTTCGGTTATTTCACATCATATGCAGAGATACGCCGTCTGGTTCGGTGGAAGCATGCTGGCATCGACGGTGAGTCCTTCTGCTTCTAATTGTCCGCATACTTCATCCCATAATTATATCCTTTTCAGCCCGAATTCTATCAGGTTTGCCACACGAAAGCCGCCTACGAAGAGTATGGTCCGGGCATTTGCCGTCACAATCCCGTGTTTGGCACCATGACGTAGTTTTGTAGTAGTTCTCTTCGCTGCCGTCGTCGTCGTTCCTCCCGCGCTCTGCTACATTGCTACTACTATTTACTGTCGTTTCAATTTGCATTTAGAGTAAAGCACATGGCACACGAAAGTGGAAGAAATTCGAACTAATTAGGTAGCCGGTTCGAGTATTAGAAGCTGCGACAATTGTGCAAGTCAAAATAAGAAAACAGTGTTGATCATCATTCCTCTCTTTTCCGATGTTTCGAGAAATTAAAAAAAAAGTGCATGCTACATCAAACAAGTTCTGTTTTGCAGTTGGTTATTTAACGTATTGTTTTTAGTGCGCTGATAAACATTTCTAGGTTTGTCGTGAACATTCATCACCTTCTTTCTGTTCATGATCGCCCATCGGGTGAAGAAGCGGACAACCAAAGTGGTAGGTATACAAGTTAGTAGTAGAAGAAGAGAACAAACAATGCCAAAATTTCGATAGAAGGACAACCCATGGATGCATTTATCGATTCCGCATGACGATTATAATAAGTGTACTGAAAACTTTGAACAGAAAAGCAAATAAATACCTAAACAGGCACGTAGACACGAAAAAGTATTCTTATAAAAGCAAGTAAAATTATTACGTTGGGAAGCCGTTTAAGCTTTAGTTATTTCCACATTTTGAAACATTGTGTAACACAGATTGTGTTAGGTGATGAACAATTAGTAAAACAGGAAGTTTGATCTACAGAAGAGGAATTCCACTCCAATTTCGCAATTTAATTTTATTGAATTATGAACTATAAATCAAATATGTAAACATACATTATAGATAATAAAGTTAAACTGAATAAATACGACGTTGGTTGTTTGCCTTACACCTACACTGCCGCTCATGGGTATTTCATTTTTCAAAATCCTTTATTTATTGGCTGCTGGGCCTTCCAAACCTTTAAATCGATTTATCTCCGTAAATACTGCTCGTATCGCGAAAAGAGGGGTGTTCAGATGATCGAAATTCTTATTTCGGGATTCCTCAATATTTAATATTGCAAAATCATTTATTTATCAGCTGGTGGACCTTCCAAACCTTTAAATCGATTTATCTCCGTAAATACTGCTCTAATCGCAAAAAGAGGGGTGTTCAGATGATCGAAATTTTTATTTCGGGATTCCTCAGTATTTAATATTCAAAAATCCTTTATTTATCGGCTGGTGGACCTTCCAAACCTTTAAATCGATTTATCACCGTAAATACTGCTCTAATCGCAAAAAGAGGGGTGTTCAGATGATCGAAATTCTTATTTCGGGATTCCTCAATATTTAATATTGCAAAATCCTTTATTTATCGGCTGGTGGACCTTCCAAACCTTTAAATCGATTTATCACCGTAAATATGGCTCTAATCGCGAAAAGAGAGGTGTTCAGATGATCGATATTCTTATTCCGGGGTTCCTCAGTATTTAATATTCCAAAATCCTTTATTTATCGGCTGGTGGACCTTCCAAACCTTTAAATCGATTTATCTCCGTAAATACTGCTCTAATCGCAAAAAGAGGGGTGTTCAGATGATCGAAATTTTTATTCCGGGATTTCTAAGTATTCAATATTCCAAAATCCTTTATTATTCGGCTGGTGGACCTTCCAAACCTTTAAATCGATTTATCTCCGTAAATACTGCTAGAATAAGGGGGGTGTCCAGATGATCGAAATTTTTATTCCGGGATTTCTCAGTATTTAATATTCAAAAATCCTTTATTTATCGGCTGGAGGGCCTTCCAAACCTTTAAATCGAATTATCTCGGTAAATATGGCTCTAATCGCGAAAAGAGGGGTGTTCAGATGATCGAAATTTTTATTTCGGGATTCCTCAGTATTTCATATTCAAAAATCCTTTATTTATCGGCTGGTGGACCTTCCAAACCTTTAAATCGATTTATCACCGTAAATATGGCTCTAATCGCGAAAAGAGGGGTGTTCAGATGATCGAAATTCTTATCTCGGGATTCCTCAATATTTAATATTGCAAAATCCTTTATTTATCGGCTGGTGGACCTTCCAAACCTTTAAATCGATTTATCACCGTAAATATGGCTCTAATCGCGAAAAGAGGGGTGTTCAGATGATCGAAATTCTTATTCCGGGATTCCTCAGTATTTAATATTCCAAAATCCTTTATTTATCGGCTGGTGGACCTTCCAAACCTTTAAATCGATTTATCTCCGTAAATACTGCTATAATCGCAAAAAGAGGGGTGTTCAGATGATCGAAATTTTTATTTCGGGATTCCTCAGTATTTCATATTCAAAAATCCTTTATTTATCGGCTGGTGGACCTTCCAAACCTTTAAATCGATTTATCACCGTAAATATGGCTCTAATCGCGAAAAGAGGGGTGTTCAGATGATCGAAATTCTTATCTCGGGATTCCTCAATATTTAATATTGCAAAATCCTTTATTTATCGGCTGGTGGACCTTCCAAACCTTTAAATCGATTTATCACCGTAAATATGGCTCTAATCGCGAAAAGAGGGGTGTTCAGATGATCGAAATTCTTATTCCGGGATTCCTCAGTATTTAATATTCCAAAATCCTTTATTTATCGGCTGGTGGACCTTCCAAACCTTTAAATCGATTTATCTCCGTAAATACTGCTATAATCGCAAAAAGAGGGGTGTTCAGATGATCGAAATTTTTATTTCGGGATTCCTCAGTATTTCATATTCAAAAATCCTTTATTTATCGGCTGGTGGACCTTCCAAACCTTTAAATCGATTTATCACCGTAAATATGGCTCTAATCGCGAAAAGAGGGGTGTTCAGATGATCGAAATTCTTATCTCGGGATTCCTCAATATTTAATATTGCAAAATCCTTTATTTATCGGCTGGTGGACCTTCCAAACCTTTAAATCGATTTATCACCGTAAATATGGCTCTAATCGCGAAAAGAGGGGTGTTCAGATGATCGAAATTCTTATTCCGGGATTCCTCAGTATTTAATATTCCAAAATCCTTTATTTATCGGCTGGTGGACCTTCCAAACCTTTAAATCGATTTATCTCCGTAAATACTGCTCTAATCGCAAAAAGAGGGGTGTTCAGATGATCGAAATTTTTATTCCGGGATTTCTAAGTATTCAATATTCCAAAATCCTTTATTATTCGGCTGGTGGACCTTCCAAACCTTTAAATCGATTTATCTCCGTAAATACTGCTAGAATAAGGGGGGTGTCCAGATGATCGAAATTTTTATTCCGGGATTTCTCAGTATTTAATATTCAAAAATCCTTTATTTATCGGCTGGAGGGCCTTCCAAACCTTTAAATCGAATTATCTCGGTAAATATGGCTCTAATCGCGAAAAGAGGGGTGTTCAGATGATCGAAATTTGTATTCCGGGATTCCTCACTATTTAATATTCCAACATCCTTTATTTATCGGCTGGTGGACCTTCCAAACCTTTAAATCGATTTATCTCCGTAAATACTGCTCTAATCGCAAAAAGAGGGGTGTTCAGATGATAGAAATTTTTATTCCGGGATTTCTAAGTATTCAATATTCCAAAATCCTTTATTATTCGGCTGGTGGACCTTCCAAACCTTTAAATCGATTTATCTCCGTAAATACTGCTAGAATAAGGGGGGTGTCCAGATGATCGAAATTTTTATTCCGGGATTTCTCAGTATTTAATATTCAAAAATCCTTTATTTATTGGCTGGAGGGCCTTCCAAACCTTTAAATCGAATTATCTCGGTAAATATGGCTCTAATCGCGAAAAGAGGGGTGTTCAGATGATCGAAATTCTTATTCCGGGATTCCTCAGAATTTAATATTCCAAAATCCTTTATTTATTGGCTGGTGGGCCTTCCAAACCTTTAAACCGATTTATCTCCGTAAATACTGCTCGTATCGCGAAAAGAGGGGTGTTCAGATGATCGAATTTTTTATTCCGGGATTCCTCAGTATTTAATATTCCAAAATCCTTTATTTATCGGCTGGTGGGCCTTCCAAACCTTTAAATCGATTTATCTCCGTAAATATGGCTCTAATCGCGAAAAGAGGGGTGTTCAGATGATCGAAATTTTTATTCCGGGATTTCTCAGTATTTCATATTCAAAAAGCCTTTATATATCGGCTGGTGGGCCTTCCAAACCTTTAAATCGATTTATCTCCGTAAATATGGCTCTAATCGCGAAAAGAGGGGTGTTCAGATGATCGAAATTTTTATTCCGGGATTCCTCAGTATTTAATATTGCAAAATCCTATATTTATTGGCTGGTGGACCTTCCAAACCTTTAAATCGATTTATCTCCGTAAATATGCCTCTAATCGCGAAAAGAGGGGTGTTCAGATGATCGAAATTTTTATTTCGAGATTCCTCAGTATTTCATATTCAAAAAGCCTTTATTTATCGGCTGGTGGGCCTTCCAAACCTTTAAATCGATTTATCTCCGTAAATATGGCTCTAATCGCGAAAAGAGGGGTGTTCAGATGATCGAAATTTTTATTCCGGGATTCCTCAGTATTTAATATTCCAAAATCCTTTATTTATCGGCTGGTGGACCTTCCAAACCTTTAAATCGATTTATCTCCGTAAATATGGCTCTAATCGCGAAAAGAGGGGTGTCCAGATGATCGAAATTTTTATTTCGGGATTCATCAGTATTTAATATTCAAAAATCCTTTATTTATCGGCTGGTGGACCTTCCAAACCTTTAAATCGATTTATCTCCGTAAATACTGCTCTAATCGCGAAAAGAGGGGTGTTCAGATGATCGAAATTTTTATTTCGGGATTCCTCAGTATTTAATATTCAAAAATCCTTTATTTATCGGCTGGTGGACCTTCCAAACCTTTAAATCGATTTATCTCCGTAAATACTGCTCTAATCGCGAAAAGAGGGGTGTTCAGATGATGGAAATTTTTATTCCGGGATTCCTCAGTATTTAATATTCCAAAATCCTATATTATTCGGCTTGTGGACCTTCCAAACCTTTAAATCGATTTATCTCCGTAAATATGGCTCTAATCGCGAAAAGAGGGGTGTTCAGATGATCGAAATTTTTATTCCGGGATTCATCAGTATTTAATATTCCAAAAACCTATATTTATTGCCTGGTGGACCTTCCAAACCTTTAAATCGATTTATCTCCGTAAATATTGCTCTAATCGCGAAAAGAGGGGTGTTCAGATGATCGAAATTTTTATTCCGGGATTCCTCAGTATTTAATATTCCAAAAACCTATATTTATTGCCTGGTGGACCTTCCAAACCTTTAAATCGATTTATCTCCGTAAATATTGCTCTAATCGCGAAAAGAGGGGTGTTCAGATGATCAAAAATTTTATTCCGGGATTCCTCAGTATTTAATATTCCAAAATCCTATATTTATTGGCTGGTGGACCTTCCAAACCTTTAAATCGATTTATCTCCGTAAATACTGCTCTAATCGCGAAAAGAGGGGTGTTCAGATGATGGAAATTTTTATTCCGGGATTCCTCAGTATTTAATATTCCAAAATCCTTTATTTATTGGCTGGTGGACCTTCCAAACCTTTAAATCGATTTATCTCCGTAAATACTGCTCTAATCGCGAAAAGAGGGGTGTTCAGATGATCGAAATTTTTATTCCGGGATTCCTCAGTATTTAATATTGCAAAATCCTATATTTATTGGCTGGTGGACCTTCCAAACCTTTAAATCGATTTATCTCCGTAAATACTGCTCTAATCGCGAAAAGAGGGGTGTTCAGATGATGGAAATTTTTATTCCGGGATTCCTCAGTATTTAATATTGCAAAATCCTAT